GCCTGGTTATCCTCCTCCAGTGGGATCTTTTGGTAGAGGCAGCATACCTGGAAATTCTGGTGCACTTGGCTTTCATGATTTACAGCAAGGGTTTGATGGTCTGAGATCTGGAGGACTTTGGTCAGATTGGTCAAAAACCTCTGACAGACAACGACCCCTGACTCCAATATCACCTGCTTTATCTCCACAACCAATTGGCACATTTGGGTCCTATGGGCAGAATGTTCCAATGGTTGGTTCTACCTCCAATATCTCATCACATTTAATTGTGTAATTTAATCAACTACTAACTACATTCATTTGAACTTCAAGCAGCATGCTATTACTATTAGTTTGATGCTGACAATTAACTCTGATTTTCTTCAGGCATCCCAACAACAAAGATCATTCTATGGGTTTGGATCTGGTTTGAACTCCTACAATAGAGGCTATATGCACAGTGGTTTTAACCAGAGCTCCAGTTTTGGTAGTGCATCTATTTCTACGTTGGGAATGAACAATCAAGGCTGGGTTTCTCTTGACAACAGCAAACGACGTGGGAGGGGTAATGGCTCTCTATGTGGTTGCAATGGTAATCTTGATATACTTAGTGAGCAAAACCGGGGACCAAGGGCCTCAAAGCCTAGGAGTCAATTGACTGATGAACAAGGATCTTCTGTTGATGATAGCAAACTTAGCAAGGCTGCTGTCAAGATTCTCAATGAGTCATACAACCGGCCAGATTTTGTCACTGACTACACAGATGCTAAGTTTTTCATCATCAAGTCATATAGTGAAGATAATGTTCACAAGAGCATCAAGTACGGTGTCTGGGCCAGCACACCAAATGGGAACAAAAAGTTAGATTCTGCTTATCGTGAAGCTAAAGAGAAGCAAGAGACATGCCCGGTGTTTCTCTTATTTTCGGTAAATACTTTATTCTCTAGACCAGGAATAGAATACCACTTGGAATAAAATAAAATAATTTGAAATGGTGTTGGTATTGAAAATTTGGCAATTCTCTTAGAATGGGATGATTCAGTGGGGACCTTGCATCAGTTTTGCGTTCGTTGGTTGCTTTTGAAGAGACCAAGTCTCATTGATAAGTCATATTGTTATGATGTTGAGTTGTTTCATAGAATATGATGTCCAACAATTTTATTTTAATTTTAGTTTCTGAATGATATTTTTTCGTGAAAATATGTGTACAATAAATGCTTTACCTTAGTTTGGGTGTTGATTTACACATTTATCATCAGTGGTATTTTGGACGACGACTTATACTGTTTCATACAATACTATTTTCAAAATTCTTACTTTTGAAGGATAATTTCTTTTAAAAAAATGTGGCAGCACTATTTGCTTTGCCTTTTTCGAGGTGGTTGTTTTTCTCATTGTCATCGTTGGTAATTTGCTGATGCCTTGATAATGACACTGTTGCATTTCCCAAGGAATTGGTTTCTGTTAGTGAATAGTGAGTTTTTCCAATTTTAGCAATCTTGGCTTCAAGCAAGACAATAAGGCATTAAACGGTCTCTTGGCGTGTTTAACTGGACCCCTGTTCTATTTATCTGCTTCCCTTGAGCAGAAATCACTTGTTTAACCTTCTCTGTAGAACACTTAACTGTTAAAGGATAGTTATAATATAATCTTACTTTCACCTTGATTTTTTTGTATTCATTGTTTAAAAAGGAACATTTTACTGATTGTTAGCATACATTTTTGTAGCAGTGCATTTTTTCTTTTGTTGTTGTGCTTCAGTGCTTCCACTTATTTTTTTTTTTTGGCATTCTCTCTTCCTTTTAGTTTCTTTGCAGTTTTTTGATGCAATCAAATGCAGGTGAATGCTAGTGCTCAGTTCTGTGGGGTGGCTGAAATGGTTGGGCCTGTTGATTTTGAAAAGAGTGTGGATTACTGGCAACAAGATAAATGGAGTGGACAGTTCCCTGTCAAGTGGCATATTATTAAAGATGTCCCAAACAGTCAATTTCGTCACATTGTCCTTGAAAATAATGACAATAAGCCTGTGACCAACAGTCGAGATACTCAGGAGGTATGAGTTCATTTGAGCTTCTGGGAGCAATCAAACACTTCCTTGTTTTTAACAATTTAGGGGCTATGTAGTCTCAAATTGGAGCATTGTTTTCTGTAGATAAGCCTAGGTGTTTAGCTTCCCTCTCTTGTAATTGCTGCTCCAACTTTTGTTATCCAATAAGCTTGGAAGTTTCTATGAACTAGTTAGTTATTCTTTTCTGGTAAAAACTTTGGTCCTTATACTCACCGCTGAGGAAACTCCTAAGTTAATGAGTAATCCTATATTTTGATCCGAGTGAGCCTGTGTATTGAGATGATGCTCATGCAACTAGGACATCTCTTTTGCTTCCTAACAGATCCCTCATTCACATATGCATTGCCTGGCTGAAACCTGGTTGTAAATAATCATATTAGAAGTATCTGCTCAAAGGAATCCTAGTTTCTGATTTCAAGTCATTTCCTCAAACCTGAGTCTTGTTTATATGTACCGTATTTGTCGTATGATTCATTCCATCCCTACGTCCAAATTAGAAGTCATGGCTGAGGTTATGTATCATTCTCACATGTGAGCACAACAGTTTGTTTTAATATGTTTAATTGCTCTTACTTATGGCCATTATTTTGCTTCCTTTTGACTAACATAAAATGGTTGCAGGTGAAATTGGACCAGGGAATTGAGATGTTGAACATCTTCAAGAATTATGAAACTGATATGTCAATCCTAGATGATTTTGATTTCTATGAAGATCGGCAGAAAGCCATGCAGGAAAGGAAGTCAAGACAGCAAGCTAGCCTGATGACTGTAGGAGTAGTTGGAGAAAATGATCATAGAAATGCTGTTACATATCCCGGTGATTTCATCAAGCAGATGTCTAAGAGCTTTGCTCAAGTTGTTTGCTTGGATGAGGGTAACAAAGAAGGCACTGGTTCTGATAGACCTACCTCTGCCTCTGAGGGCTCCATGGGTGCCAGAGTTACACTAGAAGATGCCCTCCCAGCTGCTGTCTCTTCTGCTCAAACTGGTTAGGAAAACATCTATTGGTGGGATTGCTGTTCTGTATGTGACGAACTTCAATTCTACTCTGTTTAGTTTTTCTTTTTTTTTTTAATTATTATTTTGTGAGAGGGTAGATCTCTGATGTCTTTGAGTTCATTGGAGTGCATTAGTAACTGAATGAAAGGTCTTACAAGTTTTATAGGCTGATGAGCTTCTTGTATATCAAGTTCTGCTTTTTGATTGTAGTCATTAGGTGTTTTTTTTTTTTTTTTTTTACTTTCATCTGTCCCTTTCTTTGCTTTCTGAATGAGTGTAGTTGCATGTAGATATTGGTTGACGTCTTGCATTTGTAAAGTTCCAGATCTCTTTGGGCAGTTTAATAATGGAATACAGCAGAAGGCGTTATTGCAAAACTCTTTCATTCCATTTCTTTTAATGGTCCATAATTCAGTTCCATTATAATGGCTACTGTTGTTGAGGAAAATGTTTTCCAGTTCCTTGGGAAACATAGCTATACCTATCTTGATGGAAGACGGGATAGTAAGGGCGGGCTGATGATAAGTGCATTAACTGTGTTGAGCTATTTTTATGGTGACATAGGTATGTGTTATTGTTGAAGAACATGTACAAGTATGGAATTAATGATACTAATATGGCTCATTCATTTGTTATTCTGTTTTATATGAAAGTATATGTTTCATCTTCCTATTTTAATTTTTAAGAAAATTATGGGCAAAAAGGTATTACTGTTTTGTGCATAGGTAAAAGTCTTGGATTGAGAAGTACAGCATGCAGGTGCAAGTCATGAGTGACTGCATTTAGACAACCTCTCCTAGGGCCCTTCTTTGGTAGGATCATAACTGGGTAATGGATTTTCTTTTTACTATTTTCAAGTAAATTAATGTAAAATTTGTGGAGGAACTATTAATTTTTGTCTTGTGGATTTGACACTGTGAAGTTTGTGGAACAACTACCTGACTGTATGCTAGTCCATTTGACTAAGGCAATCTACATGAGTAACACTGTAGTTACTATTTTCCTTTTTTTGTCATATTCACTATTTCTTCAGTATAATGTATTTGTTCTATTTTTAGAGTTCTCATATTTCTCTCTTAATATTTTGTTTCTTCGGCTTCTTTTCTGTGTAGATGCAATGTGTGATATCTCATACTCTCTCTAAAATGTAATGTGATGATAAATTTTCTCAGCTATTCATTAGATAAGTGTGATGTTTACTTGTTTCAAAATCTTTAGAATTCAGAACCCCATACCAGACAGCATGTTATGGGGCTATGTACTACCTACTTTAATGCACACTGCAGGCTGTTATCAATAATCCATTTGTGGCTTAAAACTGCTGAAGTTATATGAACACAACTTTCAGTATGGTTGTGTTCTCTTGTGGTTGAGAGTAAGAATTAGGAATATTTTAAACAATTCTAATAGTAATAATATTTCTTGTTCGGTTGTGATGGTTGGGGAAATCTGAAACTTACTTCAGTAGAAAGAAATATGAAGATTTGATTTTGAAATCACAATAATATGCAAGTTAATGTTATACCATCTTCACTTAAAGATTGTATATGAAAATACTAGAGATGAGAGATGAGCAAATAAGATGAACAATGACGACAAGAATGTTAGGTTCTTTCATACGTGCAGATAACTGGGTGGGTGGATGCAATATTTGGAGTTACTCAAATTTGTAATCTAATTTACCAGAGTCAAACAAGTGGGGGGCTATACAAACACAAACCCACACAGAGTGACACAGCCAATAACAGTGTTGTGCATATCCTCTTATCCATGAAAATGACACAAACAATCATATGCATCTTTTGTTTTGACGTTTATGAGAAGATGGGATGGATATTCATGATAATTTATCTGCATTTCTCTTGAATATTCTCCACCGTAAACAAACACAAATTAATTCCTATTGTTTATAATTAATATACGACACTGTCCCACCTTAAGGCTTAAACAAAGTTGCATCGAATACGGGGGGCTCCATATTTTCTTGAAATTCACGCCCTGCTTTACTGAAGAGTTTTAGTTCGAATACGTAACAAATTGACCCCATTTCAGAAAAACGTTTAAAGACGTAGAAATAGGTGAAAGCTGTTTAGCGTTAACCAAACGGCACAACTATGCAGCCAACATCGAAACTGTCTCCCAGAGAAGAGGTATCATACGATCATGATGATGTAAAATACACAATCACAAATACAAGCAAAGAGTTGATGTAAGAGAAGAGAGAGATGGATCAAATCTGGGTTTCATCGTCTTACGACTTCTGGCATCAGAACCTTTATGGAGGATATGCAACTCTCATCGCTTCACTCATCATCCTCTTTTACCATCTTTTTAAATACTCTTTTCTCTATTCCCCTTCTCGCTTTAGAGTTAAATCACGCAATATTTCTTCTTCTCCTAATTCTCCTTCTTCTTCTCCTTTTTCTTCTATTAATGTGGCTTCTCAGTCAAGGTAATTCTTTTACTATTCTGCTTTCTGCTTTTGTGATGTGTATTGATGCTTATTATTTTTATTGGGGTTTTGTCTCTACTGGGTTGGTTTTGTTTTACTCTTAAAAATTGCGCTCAAATTTCTCCACTTTCTCCCTTGTTCTTCGACTTTGGTGTTTATCTCAATTCGGTTGCCCTTATGTGTCGCCAATTTACTGCTGAAGGCATAATTTCTTCGTCAAAGTGTCTTTTTTCTTCAAATTTGAGGTGAATATATATGTGATTATCTGCCTCAGATAACCTTTTCTCCTTGATTCGAAAGCTCCACACTGTGTTTTCAGTTTTTTTTTTTCTTTGCGGTGGATTGGGAGTTCAACTCAATTGAACTATTATGTCTCAATGCGTTCAGGTCGTATAATCAAGTTTTACATCCCTATGTCCTAAATTTTTACTTTTGCAGTATATCGGAGATCGTATCAGATGCAGATTTAAAGTTCTTAATGGAAAATTTGGAGGAGAAGTTCAATCAAAATGAGAAATGGGAAAATGTAATCGACAAAAGAAACAATCTTGTGTCCTACAATGCCAGATGCTGCAGACCAAAGGTTACTTATCCTCTGCTTGACCCCTTTTGAATGTCTTATGAGTTACACCTTCACTCCAAATTATGAGAATATATATATATATATATTTTTTTTCATTTTTTCAATCCAGTATTATGGAAAAAACTGTTTTCCTCTCCTATGAACAACCTTCATTTGTTAACTGAAAAAAGGTTTAGGTATGCTGTAACCACAGAATGAAGTTAGTCTTCTGCAGTTGAATCTATTTCTACTTTTGTGTCGTTTACAAGTTCATTTCGGTCTTTTGGAAGCATTTAGTTTGGATTCTCTGTTAAACATGGGATTATTATAACCATTTCCATTTTGCTGATTTTGTGAATTAAAGTACCTGGATTGAATTGATGTTTCTTTGTTGTTGCTTGTAGGATGCTCCTCTGAAATACTTGAGCGTCACAGTATTTGAAAATTGCTCCCCTGAGGTTCTAAGGGACTTTTACATGGACAATGATTACAGAATGCAGTGGGACAGGACTGTAGTTGACCATAAGCAACTGCAGGTGGATAGAACCAATGGAACTGAAATTGGTCGCACAATAAAGAAATTTCCACTCATGACACCAAGGGAATACATATTGGCTTGGAGAATATGGAAAGGAAGTGATGAAACTTTCTACTGTTTTGTCAAGGTAACTGCTAATATAATTCAATCTTGTGACAACTAATTACATGTAGTGAGTTATATTAATTTGGAATCCCTCATGATATCTTTATCTTCATCATTATGTGCCTTTATAAATATTTTTTGTATTCCTTTCTGCTAGTATGCTTAATGTGAATTGGTTTATCTGGTTAATATAGGGAGTGTACATTTAAGCATTTTTGTTGAAGAAATTTTAGTTCCATAAGAACAGAAGATGTTGTTTCCATGTATTCATCTGCAATAAGATCTATTTCATCATTTTTAGAGTTCTTTAAGGGATGATATTGCATGCATTTTGGCCAAAACAGTTTGAACCAATGTCCCAACCTTTCACCTAGACACACATATGTATGTGTAGCAATCCTCAATCAATAAGAGTTCTTTCATGCTACTAGTGAAGGTCTTGCAAACTTTTGGTCGGGTGCGGGGACTTTGACATGGCAAGACCAATTAGTTGAAAGGTATTATTTTTTATTGGTAGGGCAAGAATAATTAGTTATTATTATTATTATTATTATTATTATTATTATTATTATTATTTGTTGAATTTCTTGTAGTTGTCTCTTATGAAGTTCCCCTATTTGAACTTCTTTACAGCCTATTTAAACATCAGTTCAGTATAAGATTGTTATTAGGAATGTATTGCAATGTTAAAAATCTTTAAAACATTCATTTTTCTTCATTTTGTCATAGCATTTCCTTTGTGTTTGATATTTTGATTTTTGAATCATCATTAGTTTTACTTCAGTTACTTGTATATATATAAGTTCGATTCTTGAAGTGTTACTGTGGGTTAGTTTGTGTTTAGTTGTAGATCCATGGTTTGGGGGTTCTATAAGATATCATGTTATATTATTTTATTTTTTAAAATTTTTCTTGTTTTCAAAATTTTATTCAGTTTTGAGTGAATAAAGAGGAGAAAAAAAGAAAAAAGAAAGAGTAACCTTTCAATCTTTTTATATAGCTACTCATTTTGTATTAGTATATTTAGTGGCAAATGTGTGCCTCTGCATTTTTTTTTTTTTCCTTATTTTGAATTTTTTAATGTTCTACTGTTGTTTGTTCGGTATATGTTTTCTAAGTTCTGACATCTACGAAAGAGAAGCTGTATAGGCTTCGTGTGGTAGGTCAATTATGTTGCCTGTTTGGAAGTGTGGCATTATAATTTGTACACAATTGAGTGAGAATCAAGAAGCTGACGTTGGTCAAGAAAAAAAAGTCCTGCAGTAACCTTTTTTACGAAAAAAAATGCACTTGGTAAATTCTCTGATTGACCAGTTGTTACTTGTGGACTACCAGAATTTTTTTTTTGTAACATCTGCAAGAATCACTTGTGGATCTAATAGTTAGAAATTTTTTGTGCTGCAATTTTAGGAGTGCGGAGTTTTGAGTCGTTTATCAATAAAGTCTTACTTCAAATAATATAACTTTTCTGTCTAATTTTTCTTTATGGCCATGATTAGGAATGTGAACATCCTTTGGCACCGCCACAGAGGAAGTATGTCCGTGTGACATATTTTAGATCTGGATGGCGTATACAAAAAGGCAAGTGCTTGAATTACTATTTTCCAAACTCAAATCTAGCTTTTTTATTGGTTTCTATAGGGGTTTTTATCCCCCCCATATCTCTTTCTCTTAGACACACATACAATCATAAACATTGTGTATCCTATTACTGTTGTGGGAAGAATTGTCTATGCTGCTTACACTTGAATTGTAAAAAATATAGTTCTTAAAAATGTAAATCGCAGTCACCTTTCATGAGGTTTGGCCTAATTATAGGTGAATCCACTTGGTTTTAGAAAATATATAGAGAACTTCTCTCTTAATCAAAGGTAGAGATGTCCCCTCTTCAACAAGTCTCTAATAAATTTTACCTTCCTAAAAACAAAATTATGTTGGTTTGTGCTGTGGAACTAGTTGCATAGTATATGTAATCATGACATGTTGGTTGTTAAAAGGAAAGGGAGTTTGATTAATTTGTGAGGAACAATTTTATTATTACAGTGCCTGGTAGAAATGCTTGTGAGATCAAAATGTTTCACCAAGAAGATGCTGGTTTAAATGTGGAGATGGCAAAGCTGGCTTTTGCAAAGGGAATATGGAGTTTTGTGTGTAAAATGGATAATGCCTTACGCAAATACACCATGAACAGTCATCCTCAGACAACTCCTGTTTCAGCTGTCAGTCTGATTCAAAAGGTCAGGATTGAACGATATATCTTTAATAATTTGTTGAAATATGAGAATTTGGTTGATATGTTATATCTCATAGTTAATATAGTGACCAATGAGAGTTCAACTCTGATGTTAGTTCATGTTGCCTGAATACCACCTCTTTTTTTATTATGTTTCCCTTTAATGTTGTGGCTTAGTGTACTCTTGTCTTTTTATCTACAACTCAGTTTAGTGCACTGCTCAAGACAGTATAATGATCATTCAGAGTATTTAATATCTGAAGAGCTGATTCTTTTAACTAATTGTGGTCAATTTTGCTTCATTAATGGTAAGAAAGATAACAATGAATACAGGTAATGAGTTCCCTGAATAAAACGAAAAGTGTGGGTGGAAAGTGAGAGAGCAGATTAACCTTGCATTTCAAACCCCAGGCTGAGCTTAATTTTGTTCATGTCTTCATTTCAACAGTTGCACCAACTTAAGGTCTTTGTATACATTTTTGTAAGGTCTTGTTTCTTGTAGTTGATTCTGGCTGACTTGTCTTCTTAGCTGGGGCATTTAGTTTTCCTTGGTTTTCAGAATTGCAAATATAGGACTGAACGTTTGTCTTGTGAGTTGATAGAACTGCTAGTTTCACTTAGTTTATGAGATTATAACTGATGTTTTATCATTTGTCTCATGGTATTTCTGTTTATGCTGATGTTTTTTTTTCCTCTTTCCACCTACACCTGTAGGTTCCGGTTGGATTAGAGGCAACGAGTTCTCCACAATGTCAAGAGGCAGTTCCCGTCCCTGGTTACACTGGTGAAGCCAAAGAGAAGAAACTATCTAGAAGGCCGTCGAAGAAACTGGTAGCTAAAGGTTTGCTGCTTCTTGGGGGTGCTATTTGCCTGTCTCGTGGTCATGCTACCTTGGGTGCTAAAGTTGCCATGGCTTATATCTTGACAAAGCTGCATAAGCGTGGCGCATCATCAAGCCAAAGTGGTCAAGGTTGAACTTGAGCTAAACAACTTAGTTATATCACCACAACCAAATTTATTGGTTTTTGTTACGACTTGCTTCCTACCTAACGTTTATTAGCTGCAACACATGGCGTCTGACTTGGGAAGACTTAAAACTACATATTTGTATCCGTTTATCTTGTTCTTCCTTTTGGTGTAAATATATTGAAAATAATTATAATTTTTCCATAATTATTGAGAATGGCAAATGAGGCAATTGCTCTGGCATTGAAATGCTATTTACATTTTACGCGAGAAAGTTCTGAGATTTGTGTGTCGTTTCATACCTTCTTGTGCCACCAGCGATAAAACGATTTCTAGCAACCTTTGTCAAGCCACTGTTCTGCTATTTAAAAAGGAGCGAATGCCTGCATATGTTTGAAGCCCTTAATAAATGATCAAGAAAATGATTAACAAAATGGAAAGCGAATATGGCTAAAAGGGGCAGGCAGAAGGAAAATAACAGAGAGATGGTTAGAAAAAAGATTAAAAACGGAAATAAAAAATGGTAAAAAGGGTAGGTAGAAGGAATATAACAGGATGTGTGTTTGAGTTGAATGGTGAAGATGGTGAAGTTCAGTATACATAATTAGCTAAAGAAGACAAGTAAGATTCAGTTTGAGGGTGCTTCATATAAATGGATGGTGTCAACAAAACAGTTAAAACACGCGGGCAATGAATTCTTAAGTCCGAAAAATATTCACAACTCTCATTTCTCTCTCACTTCTCCTTACCTTTCGCTACCTCCATCCCTCTCCATGCAACTATTTTATTCCTACTCTCTTTCTCTTCTTCTCCATTTTTAGCCTTTGCTTCTCTTTTTTTCTTTTTTTTTTTCTTCTCCAAATTTAGCTATCATGTTTCAAACCAAAAACTCCCCCCAACTTGCTAGTGAAAAACTGAAAATTAAAAAACAAGAATAAACAAAGATATAGGAATAAAGCTAGGAAAGCCAATTTTTTTTTGGAGGTTGTTGTTGTTCATAGATGAACAACTCTTCCTCCTCTTTAGATTTCTCCATTCAGTTGCAGACTTCAACAAGAGATTAATCATATCGCCTTTCTTTTAATTTGTTGCTTGGAGAGATAAGAAACATGTTTTACAATCTTCTTGTGATGATCAGATTCCTCATTTTCTCTCTTGGGATCCTGACTAATCACGTTCTTTCAAAGACAGACCCCAACGATGGTATATTTATGCACATTATTCCATTTTATCTTTTTTTTTTTTTTTTTTTTTTTTTAACTTTTCTTATACCATCTTTTTATGTATGACCTTTCTTGTTTTGATCTCTGATATGATCATGAATGTACTTTAAATTAGAAATTATTGTTTGCTTTTGTTAATAAAATCAGGAGCTATCAATGAATGTTCTTTTTGATTGATTATTGATTAATTAATAGTATCATTCATTATCTACCCTGTTTGTTTCCAGGTGAAAGTCTCAAGGAAAAAGCAGAAAGGAAAATTTCTGTTTCAAATCTATTCTTTAGTTTTCTTCTTTTTACCAATTTTTATTACATTCATTTTCTTATAAAGCCATGTATAGTTCCATAATTAGCTTTTTGTTTGGTTTTAGCTTAGTTTCCTAATCCATGCAAAATTAATTTTGAAATTCATATAATATAATGGCCTTTATATACATTGTTGGTGAGCTTCTTTATTGCCACAATTTACATCTCTTTTGGTCGTACAAATTTAATTATCAATACTTGGATACAATTTCTTCAAGAATCTGATATTTGCTAATAATATTGTAATTTGCAGCTTCTGCACTTAATGTAATGTTTACAAGCTTAAATTCTCCTTCAAAACTGAGTGGTTGGAAAGCAAGTGGTGGTGACCCTTGTGGTCAATCATGGAAAGGGATTACCTGCTCAGGCTCCTCTGTTACTGAAATGTATTATTTTGTATTATGTTAATAATTGCAAGTGTTTGATTCTGGGTTTATAGTTAACATATTTGATAGGATGTGTCTGAAATTTCTAAGTAAAATTATAATTTTGCAGAAAACTATCTGGGCTTGGACTTAGTGGACAAATGGGTTACCAGCTATCAAACTTGAAATCTGTCACGACCCTGTGAGACCTTTCTTCCCAAGTAGTAGCACATTTAAATTTTATAGCTTTGTTTACTAAAAGGACATCACCTCATGGAAATGCATTTTGTCTTAGTACAGTGATATGAGCTCAAACAACCTCAAGGACAGTATACCATATCAACTTCCTCCAAGTCTCAAACGCCTGTAAGTCATCTGCAAACGTTTTTGCATTTTCGCATATTAATTATTTTACCAGAACTTGAAACAAATTGAATGAAATGGTCAAGCTACTTTTATCTCAATACTGAGTTGAATTTTGACATATCTTCACTTGAATGGCTTCATGCTAATCTTATGAGCTTGATGTTCAGGGACCTTTCTAAAAATGACTTCAGTGGTAGTTTGCCTTATTCAATCTCTCAGTTATCAGAGCTCAAGTACCTGTAAGAAAAAATAACTAGTTCTCTTGGTGCCATAACTTTCTTAACACTGGCTTTTGTTTCTAAATATTACGTTGGCGACTGCAGAAATTTAGGACATAATCAGCTCAATGGACAAGTGACTGATATGTTTCAGAAACTTAATAAACTTGAATCCATGTAAGTATTCTTAATTAACAAGGAAGAAAATCGATATTTTTCTTCATGATGCTTCCATTTGTTTCAAGCCACTTTATTATGGTCCAAGAAAAGCAAGGTATTGGTCTTTGCATTAAGTCACCAAATGTCTCTGCCTTAATTGTTAAAATCGCAATTGGCGGAGAGCTCATAGTTCAGAATCGTTCTTGATTCGTTGAGGTTTGAGATATATATGGAAAACAACGGATTGCACAAAACTTAGTCCTATTTGTTGCATTGTTGAGTTGACAATACTTCACTTTGGTCAATTACAATTTTAGTTTCATAAATCATTGGTCAATTTAGTTCTCTTAAGTGATTACTACCATATGGGTCTTTTCACTGCAAAGAAAGTAAGATTTGTGAGTCATATGCTGATTCCCTACCCTTGATCACCTTTGTTCTTCAAGATGGCATGAACGATTCTGCTTGATCGAGGTTGACACTTCTGGTGTTCTAAAGGGTAGAAAAATAAAGAGTAAAAGAGAGTGTAAGATGAGTAAGACCTCAGTGTTTGCAGTCTAAATAATAATCTCACGTTTCAACAGGATTATAATTACATTATATCATCTTCATCTTCCTTAGTAAATTCATAGAGAAGAAATTTGTGGTCTGTCATTGGCAATTATCTACCTATTTCGCTTTTTTATTCAGTTTTCTAATTCATTAGCTGACGTACAGGGATCTATCCATGAACAAACTGACAGGTGATCTACCACACAGTTTTTCATCACTATCAAGCCTGAAAAAGCTGTAAGCAAGACATACGTTTCACATTTAGAATTTTTTCCTAATTTTTTTCTTATAGGTAAGTTATACTTACATCTTTTGGATCATTTTGATACTAATTTTGTTCTTTGTACAGATTCTTGCAAAACAATCAATTGACTGGTTCCATAAATGTCCTTGTCAGACTTCCTCTTGAGGAATTGTAAGTGGAGCAGTTTAAATTGTTGCAAATGTAATACAATCTGTTTTTTTGTTTGAGTTATTCCATTTTTTCCGGGTTGGTTTATACCTTTGCACATTTTACAAAGTTTGATCATTTTTTGGTTACTATGTATTCCTAAAATTCTTTTTTGATTATCAAGGAAGCAAAGCTTCAATGTTCTATAGAGATATGGATTGCTTGAGTAATTATATTTTTCACATTCTTCTGATGCATTTGTGATAACTTCTATAAAAACGGTTTCCAATTGAACCTGCTGAAGCTAAATGGAACTCTTACATGCTAAATGCTTATTCTACTCACAACTCAGGAATGTTCAAAACAACAAATTTACTGGTTGGGTCCCTGACGCATTGAAGGATATTGCTAAGTGAGTATACTTCTGAAGTATGCATTGGATAGAGATTGAAATCTAAACTTGTTTTTTCTGACATTGTGATAATATTCTTTTTGTTGCCTCAAGAACTGGTGGAAATTCTTGGTCATCTGGGCCAGCACCTCCTCCTCCTCCTGGTGCAAAGCCTGTTGCTAAGAAACGTCCAGCAGACTCTTCCAGTGATAGTTCGTCTCTGTCATCTACCGAGAGGGGAATAGTTATAGGAGCAGCAGTTTTGGGTGGATTGGCCATAGTTGCCGTTCTGGTTGCTCTGGTTACAAGGAAAAAGTCTTCTCCATCTTCTCATTTTCTTGATGAAGAGAGGGCTAGCCAACGAAGAGCCTTTACCCCCCTTGCATCACAGGAATTATCCCATGACCTACGGAGTGATAGCAGTGACTACAAAGCTGATTTTTCTGGTGATTATTCATTTATGTTTTTAAGGGTTGGTAATTGGTTATAAGATTTTCCAAATTAGACATTGTTCATTGAGTTCTAGTCTACTTTCTGATAATATCGGTCTTCTTTTTTCCATTTGACACCTCATACTGTTTTATGGTTTTTCTGACTAATTAAATGATTGGTGACAGAGAAGAAGATATTTAATCCTCCACCTCCTCCAATTGATATTTTAAAGCCTTTTGAGAGAACAAAGTCAGTTGGTCACAAGGATCCCCTCGCTGATAGGGATTTTATTCCTCAAAAGGATCCCCTCACCGCAAGGGCAAAATCTCTCCATGACAATGAATTTGCAAATCGTCTTAAAGCCAAAAGAAGCACCTCTGCTCGTGCTGCAGCTTATTCTTTGTCAGATTTGCAGACCGCTACGGCTAATTTCGCAAACGGGCGCCTACTTGGTGAGGGGACTATTGGGCGTGTTTATAGAGCTAAGTATCCTGATGGGAAGGTATGCTTTTAGGTGACAATGTCTTGGGAATTTCTTTTTCCTTTCTTTGTTATCTACACACTTTTCACTGGATCTTTGCACTTATTTAATATCTGTAGCTGCTGATAATTTTATCAATTTGAGTTTGATTTACTGAATTCTGGGACAATATGCTTTGAAAAGGTGCGTTTAGTAACTGCATCTAGTCTGTTTATCAGGTGTTAGCTGTGAAAAAGATTGATTCCTCTCTTTTTCAAGGAGATAACACTGAGAATTTTTCAGAACTTGTTGCAAACATCGCTAGGATTCGTCACACAAACATCGCTGAACTTGTTGGTCATTGTTCAGAACAGGGGCATAACATATTGATTTATGAGTATTATAGGAACGGCTCACTTCATGAGTTTCTACACATGTCAGACGACTTTAGCAAACCACTAACTTGGAACACAAGAATCAGAATTGCTTTGGGCACAGCCCGGGCTGTTGAGTAAGTCCATACATATACATGCAGTAATACACAACTTGCTTTTTAAGGTTGCAGCATAATTGAGTTTGTTTTAGGAGTCTAGAGACTCAATTCAAGCATGTCTAGTAACGAACACGAAATGTGTTATAGATAGTGATGAATCTGGTTGAAGAAGTTGCAATGTGATATAAATGGTTGCACAACTGGATCATGATATTTGGATATTATCTACATTTTTCCTATATTATTTTCTGCACGCCTGAGATTATTTTTGTGTTCAGGTATCTCCATGAGGCTTGTTCTCCATCATTACTGCACAAAAATATCAAGTCGTCTAATATATTGCTTGACCTTGAGCTCAATCCTCATCTGTCCGACAATGGCTTGGCAAACTTTCATGAGGTTATTATTTCTTGAAATAAAACATATTTCAGTATTTTAAGCATAGTTTGAACTGGAGTTGCTATTAGCTATACAAATGCCTGCCAGTGGAGTTGGTCATATTGTTAAGATTTAGTTATCTGTTGAGACTTGAATCTGTTTAATATTATCATTTGATTGTTTCTTTAATAAGTTTTATTTCTTTTCAGCGTACAAGCCAAAACCTTGGAGCCGGATATAATGCTCCCGAGTGCACAAGGCCATCAGCATATACGCTGAAGAGTGATGTTTACAGTTTTGGGGTGGTAATGTTGGAGTTATTGACAGGACGGAAGCCTTATGACAGGTGATAACTCAATCCACATATTCACTAGGATAGCATATGAAATCTTGTTAGCTAAACTGTTTCTATTCATTGCTATGTTATTCCAGTAAAAAACCAAAATCCGAGCAAAGCCTAGTCCGGTGGGCTGCTCCACAGCTACATGAAATTGATGCATTGGCAAGAATGGTGGATCCTGCTTTGCGCGGACTCTACCCTCCCAAATCCCTCTCTAGATTTGCTGATGTTATTGCCCTGTGTGTTCAAGTGAGAATTAACCTCTTTTTTTATTTTATTTTAGCAAAACTTATAACTCCATCTTTCTCTCTTTTTTTTTGCAACATATTATGACAATTTTGTTGTGTATTTGTACTAGTCGGAGCCTGAATTCCGACCGCCTATGTCAGAGGTAGTCGAGGCATTAGTACGATTGGTGCAACGTTCGAGTATGAACATGAAAGACGATCTTGCAGCCTCTCGTCGGACGGAGGATTCTGACTATTGATGATGATTTCTTCTATGAATTTAAAACAATTTTTTTTTTTTTTATTTAAAATTTTTATGTTTTGTACATTTGAATGAAACAGGTTCGGTTGAAGGAGAGTCATTCTGATTTTGTTCTTTATTGCCTGCTTCTAAATATATGGCATTGATAGAATTGTTTTCTTAGAAAATTTTAGAGACCAATTTATAATTTCCAAAGGGTTGTTTCTCACTTTGTTGTTGAGAGAAAGATAAAAGGAGAAATTTTTATTTTACTATTATGTGTTTGTAATTGTATATACATCATAATTTGTACAAGTTTTGGAAACTAATTAATTATTTTAAGCCCTGGCTGCCCTCAACATATATATTTTACTTTTTTTTTTTTTTTTTTTTTTTTTTGTTTTGCAATAGGGTGTCAGTTAGCTTGCACACACCTCAACTAATCCATATGATTCATTAAACATTCTACAAACCCAAAAGATCAGGTAAAACACAATGTTATTGTGATAGATGACTCTCAGGTTTGAGCTTAGAAACTCAAGGAAGAGAACAAACCTCTAGGTCAATCCCTTGGGGTTAGTATAATTAGTTTGTGTTATTAACATCCATTTACATGTTAATTATTTAAATTCGAATTTAGTGGACAAGCCTCTCAACAAAGGTAGATGACTTGACTTTGAAATGAGGGCTCTGTCTGAGCAAGAGTGGGCAAAACCAAATCAAACCCCCTAAAAGAAAACTTAATTATGTGTGAATGGTAGATCAATTAGTTATAAACAACATTAATAATGTAGAAAAAGTGGCTTAAATAGTGCAAAGTTGTGTTCCCATGTTTTTGGTCTATGGCTCAGAAATGACATTGAGCACTTTTTTTTTTTTTCCAACACAGGTTCAAAGACTTCAAATTGGACTTTTCTATGGAGACATTTAACGCCACCAAATTGGAAGAAAAATTTTAGCTTCGTGTCTTTAAATAAAGTTAAACATTCCCAAACTAATATGACGGTATAAGATTTCCGCAAATCCCTTATTTTGTCGCGTAAATTTTGACATGAAATGACTGCCTTTTTACTGTAAATATGGGTGCATTTTGAGGGCAAAATCATGACACACATTTTCAAGCAATACAAACACCAGAGATGCAAAGCTTGAGTGTGAGAGATATTAGGGTGTATTTGGGATTTGAGTTTCTATGATAATTTTCATCAAAATTTGTATACTTAATTTTATTAGTGATATTCTTCTTTTATCCTCACCCGTGAACATAAGCTAAAAAGTCAAACCACTTAAATTATAGTGTGTATTGTGTATATTATTATTTTTCTTGTCGATAATTATTATCCTTAGGTTTAGCTTTGACATCATAGTTGTTAGTATCCTATAATACATGATACATATTTTACGATACGATTCAATACGGGTCACCAACGATACGTATCAGAGAGTATATCCTAAATATTTCGATACGTTGATATGTATCTTACAATACGATACGTATTCGTTTGTATCTTTAAAAATATCATACAAATCGATACAACTTTATTAATTTGGACCAAAGGTCTAAAAAAAATTTTAGGTCGAATCCAGGTCACCCAACCTGGTTTACTAAAACCTACGCAAATTTACCCATTTTGCATGGAGAAAGTGAAAAGAAAGATATGTTGCCCATTTTGCATGGAGAAAGTGAAAAGAAAGATATGTTGCCCATTTTGCATGATAATAATAACACTAGTGGAGTTATAGATATTGACATTGATCTTGGAAATGATATGAATGATTGAGAGGAAATGATATAAATTCTTAATTTTGTGATTAATTTTGATTGTGTAATATCATAATTTAAAGTCAATAATACCACAAAATTTGTTAATTAATCATGGGGATGATATTAATTTTTAGAAAAATTATATTATTTTATTAATTTTTTTGAAAAAGACGATACGTGATACACGATTAAAAAAATTAGGTTTTCGATACATGATACGATGGACGATTTGACAACCACACAACAAATTAGAAGAGTAAGTTTCTCTTTTTGACTTTTAATTTTCTAGAAGCTTAATTAGTTGTAAGTCTTCCACGTAATCTTGCAAACTCGATCAATTTAACGGTGGCATGTATACTTGTACGAATCAACATATATTAACATTATATTAATTTTCATTGTTATATATTTCGTGTCACACGAATTAAATTATAAGATTCGGATGTCGAATTTGCTCAACTTATAGTAATTTTTAATCATTCTATATGTAACATTTTTCAAATTAGAAACGAAAAATTGTCATATTTCTTAGCTTGTGCTTGTGGGTCAGTTTTTATTTTATTTTTTCTAATTAAAGACTTGGCTTTTGGTAGGTGAGAATCCATTCATGATTCATGTGCGATAACGAGCTTGAAAGAAGACTGATCACCAACAACAATTATATTACGATTAATTTGTTTTAGTTAATCTCTATAAACTCTAATTTTTAGATTAATTCAGTCAATATCATTGCTTTCTTAGTGTCTCCTTTTATTTGAATATATGGCAATGGCACTACGTCAATGTGTGACTATTTCTTTAACATTTAATATAATTAAGTTAGAGTAAACGACGTTTTTCCCACGCAAGGGTTCGCTTAATGACTTTTTCATCCAAAAAGTTTTAAAATATCATTTTTTTACCCAAATTTTATATTTTGTTACTATCAAAAGCTAATTTCGGTGGTGCAAATTCTCCCTATTACTACCATTTGAACATCCGGTCTCTTCTCTGTAAAAACTCTCATCACCGCAAAGCTAGATTTCCTGTTTTTAGCTGAATTTCAATTGATTCTGACGATGAATATTCAATCAGTCACCACGATTCGATCCACTGGCCTCCACTTTGCAACACCCTTCTTACTTTTGTTCCTAGTAACTTGCTAAATACTAACTGAGAAAGTGAAGTATATTTTGGGCATTATCATAATATAAACTTTGGGTGGGAAAGTGATATTTTGAACTTTTTGGGTGGGAAAGTGTTATTAAGACGAACCTTGGGCGGAAAAAAGTCATTTACTCAATTAGGTGATAAGACAATATTAATTACATATTTATGCTTGACTTAAAAGGAACCAATCAGCAGATTCAATAAAATTAGTCATCGTCAACTCAACGTGGCATACAAAAATCAAAGTTAAACTCTAGTGTGAAATACGCATGCGCAGTACTAAAAGCTTTTCAGTGCAACCACTTATTCTACAAAGGAACTTATTAATTTGTGCATAATGACTAAACCAATATCATCATTTTCCATCAAATTGCCGTTACAGTATAACCTCAATAAATTAATAACACTGGGATCATATAAATTTTATTAATTAAAATGTTATTAATTTGTAGAGTATATGATTTTACGAACATACGGTTTAATCAACCAAAAATTCATTGTATTTTACAAATTTAATCAATTGAATATGAATTAATTTCCTAAATATATATTAAAGCATTAATTTAAATTCATTGTACTTATGTACTTAATTAAATCGTTGTTTACAAAGAAACCGTTCCTAACATCATTGAAAATCTTGCTGCTGACAAACGAGGATGATACAATAGCTTTGAAGCTTATTACGTGTAAGGAAGCACTCAAAGCATCAACGATACTTTATAAATTTTTTATTACAATTCGAATATTCAAGCCAGAACTTTTAGATGCAATGAGAAAAATTAGAGATAAGACTTAACAAGATTTAAATTTCAAGGAAAAAAAAAGTAATAATATAGTCATATTTTAATAAAATATTAGAATTAATTAACAAATTATTTATTTATGATATGAATTGGACCTTAGAGTTACATAAAGTTTTTTAGAGAAATCTTATTTTATTAATTTATCGAAATTATTAATTTAACCTATTAGCCCAAGTCGGGACGGTAAAAAATTATTATATAATAGAGGTTATTAATTTATCGAGTATATAGGTTATACTGTTAGTTAATTAATTTCCAATGTTTAGATTATAATTTTTTAACCCCTCTGATTAAGTGGCTTGACTATATTTTCCCTGAAACAATTGACGAGTAGCACTCCAAATTGTCAAATGAAGGGTTGGAAGTTGGTATAATGGACATTAATGTGAATTAAATAGATAATAATCCACAACCACTAGTAGATTGAAATAGTATTAATTGTTTGATCATGGTATGTTAATTAGAATTGATTATTGGATCATATTATATAGTTTCATTTAACCAAATTTGGAAAAGTATTTATAGCAAGAAACAAGTATGCAGGTTAGGTCGAACTTCTACCCAAGCAATTAATTACATTAGCGTTGACAGTTATCTGACAAGGGAGAGTTGTATTTTCTATATTAAATGGAAGAGTAATCTATGCTTACTCATGATCTTACTATCTTTTGTAAATATAATGTATAGTACGGGTATCATACGCATAGTACTGATACTATATGTAATTTTAACAAAGGTAATAAGACGGTTAGTAAACTCGTGAGTAAGAATAACATCATTGTAAATGGAAATGGGATACCTATTAAATTGTGACAACTGCAATGCTACCGACTGATGCTAGTCTGAGTAATACTTTTTCCCACGTGAGTTTTCCTTAATAATGACAATTTTTCATATAAGATGATTTAAAATATCATTTTCTCACCATTTTATGCTCTGTTAATATTTAAAATACATTTTACTTTTTTAGTCGGTGTTCAACGAGTTATGAAGAGTCATGATAAGAGGAGTTTTACAGAATAGAGACCGATAGATCAAATAATAGTGGTCGATTGAATATTTATCATCGAAATTAACTGAAAATTAGCTAAGAACAACAAACCATATCTTTGTAGTGATTGGCAATCGACGAAAAATTAACTGCCAAAATAAAAGATGTTTTATCGAGATGAGATCGGAGGTTCAAATAGTGGTGACAGAGATCATTTTTGTCATCGAAATTGACTTTGGATAGGAATAGAATATAAAATTTGAGTAAAAAAGTGGCATTTTGAAATATTTTGGATAAGAAAGTGTTGGTAAGGCAAACCTTAGGTGGAAAAAAGTCGTTTACTCTCCCCTTTATTAATTAAAATGACATCGATTTCCCTGAGATGTTAG